GAGGGGGCGGCCATGGCGCCTGGGCGGGCGGGCTGCCCGCCGGTTCGGAGGTGGGGGTCATCCGTGTGCGCTGCGGTACAGTTGCCTGCGGGTGGCTGTAGCGCATGAGGGGGAAGGGTGGCAGGGAAAGCACGGCCCGAGGGAACGTGCATTGCCGGGTGGAGCTTTTGGGCAGCCCTGGGCTACTGCCTTCGTGGCAGTCCTGGGGGAGAAGCATAGCAAGTCAGCATCTCATCTCTGAAACCATCAGTGGAGTATTGACCAAGAGGTATTTAACCTGTTTATGCTCTCTCTGCAGGACAGTCAGGCTCCAGTCACGACTTGCATACGTTCAAGCCCCCCTCTGTGCACTGAGGTGTTCCCAGGGTGATGTTTTTGTCCCTGTGGTTACACCATCCCATTCCTCACCCCCCCTTAGCCAAAACCAGCTGGTGCTCTGGAGGGATGCCAGGTTCCTTTGATAGGGTAAAAAAAAAAAAATCACCCAGCATCTCCAGAGCCTGTGTCCAGGCAGGATGAACCCTTCCCCATCAGATTACAGGTGTGCACCAGTAATTACATGGACCAAGGTCAATCCATTTGGAGCTTAACTATCCTTGGCATTGGAAAGTTGCCGTAAATCCTCCTGCTGCAACTTACAGGTTCTGCCCCTACTAGACTGAGTTATTTGTTCCCTTTTTCTAACAGCCTTCCACATATTTAAAGACATCACATCTCTGCTCAGTCTCCTTTGAACTTCATTTTGTTTGATTTACCAGAAGTTCACACAGGACACAGAACATCACTTGGGCCAAGCCTGCATCCCCTCTTCCAGGAAGAAGCTGCAACAAGTTAACACGGGACTAACTCCCCGCAGCTCAGCCGGTGGCCACGCACAGCACAGCACGGGCTGACGTATCCCTCATCAATCTCCTGAAGCGTTGTTGTTCCTCTAGGCCTTCTCTAATCGAAAGACATTTTTAAGGTTGACATCTAGAACAGGGCACACACTCACAACTACAGCTACAACCTTAATACAAGGGTCAGGGAATTATTCACACCTTAAAAACTGCCTGAAGCCCGGTTGCGAAGATGGGAAGTGTTACAGCCAACAGCAAAATCACCTTCACAGCTGAAGAATTCTACTTACATCATACACTGAGGGTGAATTCTTCTCTCCCAAGCATCCTCACTGCAAGAACAATACACTAGAGCTGTGACTTTGCTCTTTCAACTTGAAGTACTTATGTCTTGCTCCCAGCAGCTTAAAAAATATGCAACTACACACATGGCAGAGTGAATAAAACATTAAATGCGTATTGTCCTAAGACACACAACTATATTATTCTCAATCCCGCAAACATGCCGGCCACGCTAAGCCAATACTGAAAGGAAGAGACTCACACTCAAAATATATGCTTAATTTTATTTATTACATTTAAGAAATATTAACATCTCAGGATATCTGGTTTACCATCTAAGTCCAGTCATAAGCAAGAAAAAAAAATGTTAACCATGTTTCAAATGAGCATTCTTACATTCATTCCCCCCTCTAACGTAAATAAAAGTTTGTTCAGCTGTATTAAATTCTTTTATGTGTTTGACTAATGGAAAAAAAAAAAGCATTAAAAATGTCTTAACTACCAGGCATCCTGGTTTGTTAATTGTTTGCTGGCACTTGTGTTCACAATCAAGCACTCCAGTTGGTTTGTTAATTTTTCCCCTTCTACCCGCAACTGTCTTTTTTGTGTGTTTTTTGTTTTGTTTTGGGATTTTTTTCTTTTTTTTTTTTTTTTTAATATCTGGATATGTAAGTTTGTTCAAATAAGTTTAAAAAGAAAAGAAATCTAGGGTTGTCTGTCTGAGAAGTTCCTGCACTGCTTCCCTTGATAACCCACCTATGGGATAACTGAAGGAAGTGATTTGCTTTCATTTTTCTGAATCTTATTGAGCAAAAGTTCTTTTTAATTCCATTTAAACTGAAAAAAGTACAGAAACACTGTCTTCATTTGATGGTGTGCATAAACATTACACTCCATATATAGCAAAAATATCTTTTATTTATAATTTACATTTCCACAAGTGAAAATTGTACATTTTTACATATACCGTTTCATTCCATTAAATTTTCACGCATCTACAGAACTTTCACACAATGACACCTGAAACTGTGCAGGCAGTAAGAAATTCAAATACAAAAATGTATTTATTAACCAAACAGTAGTTGAGGCCCTGCCTCAGTTGAACATTTTTATTTCATATAAAAAGTATTTGCCTTCCAGAGTTAACACAGCAGCTCTTCTGTAAAAAAAAATTCATACCTCAGTTCATTTAAACAGACTCGTCAGGTTCTGTTTTGATCTCTGTAGATGCAGGTGTGCTCTCTTCTGCACAGGCAGTAGGGGTGTCATCAGGTTCTTCCTTGACTTTAGGCGAGTCACAGGACTCTTGTGTTTCTTGTTTAACAATGTTCAACATTATATTTAGTGGGTTTTCTACAGGAGTCTTGCTGGGAGATGGTGTGCAATCAAATGATGATGTCTGCAAAGTCAAAGTCAGCGTAGCGTTAACACACGTTAATTTAACCATTTTTAGCTTCTGATCCTTTTTACTTTTTCAAAATGCAAACACGTTGATAGTCACATTAAAAATCCAACCTCTTCTTGATATCAAGACCCTAAGGAATCCCATTTTTTTTTAATAGCATTGCTTTTTCACAATTACTTTGAAAAGGTATCACCCAAGCAGTGATGAAATGCTTAACACATTACCATAAACTATTCCCCAGGGGAACTGTCACTCCTAAAGCATTAAAAACTAACACACACCAACACCCATTTACTCCATTTTTACAAATTCCTAAGATTGGGCACGTCACAACAATAAATGCACGATGTGTTTTCAAACCATGGTTTTGCTTTAGATGTGTACAACACGCAAGCTGTCAGGGTGCATCACACCAAGAAATACATTTTGGCTAATTCTGTGTTAGAAACTTGCCATGCCCAAGGCCTCCAAGTCTTTCTCTAGTCATTGGCAAGAGAAACAGGCAGCAGGCTCTGAACACGTCTGCTCCCTGCAAAGTCAGAGATCCAGCAAACAAACTGAAAGCAAAATGTGTCAAAAACTACAAAGAAGTATTCACTTACGTTTTGGTAATCTTCGTAGCAAGATGGATGGTAAATCTGAAAAAGAATTGTTATACATTTAAATACATAAAAATAAATTATAGCTGGATCACTGATTATGAACAGAACAGTGTCAAATACAGGTATTGCACAATTTGTCTAGCAAAAAAATAGTATGAGCAGGCCAAGTACGGTGTCAAATATAACTGGGAAAACATTTTGTGTATGTTTATTTAGGAGAAGTTATCACACA